AGTCCGTCATGCTCACACATAAATGAACCATGACAGAGATAGACTGTTGAATAGAAAAAGCGGTTTTACTGTGGATAACCTTTCCTGAATAAATGCAACAAATAATAAAGTCTGAAAAAGAGGACCATGTACCTCGGAAAGCAGTGACGTTCGGAACCAATTGGTTATTATCTTTCGGGGCCATCAAAAGCAGCCCCTTTATCAAAGCATGCCATTGAGAGAAAAGGGGAGAGGGCTGTGATGACAATAAACACGATGGCAGTGGAGCCCGTGCAGCCTTCAATATAATATCACATAACAAAACCCACCACAGCTCTCCGGGAGGGAAAAAGGAGGCATTGTTTGTGCACCAAATGGAATTCACAATTGTTCTTAGAAAATGGTGGCACACATCTTAATTAAAACAGCAGAAAAAAAAGCATCTGAAACTCTTTATTTCTTGAAAACATTTCTCTCCTTTTATATATATTAAAAAACACACACACACACACACAAAAACCAAAACCAACAACTCCCAGTAGAAATTGTGGAAACTCTACATTTCAATCAGGATAGTCAAAAGAACGATTTGAATTTACAGGCCTGTAATTGGAACAAATTGGAAACAAAAGAAGAGCTCGTTTAAGCCACGTGATGTGGCTGCAGTGCCGCTGTGTACAGTATGCTAGGGGTGGAGGGGGGGGCGAGGGGGGAAATCATGTTTCTTTAAAGCAAAGCTAACTCCACGGCAGGCTTCCCGCGATTTGCATAAATGTCTCCACAATGATTTTTTTAAATTTATGGGCCCTAAGTTTCTAATTAAATACTAATTAATACTATCACCAGAATTGTCTCCCATCCCCAGCTCTTCATAGCTTTGTCACTTTGATTAATGCACAGTCATTTATTAACTTATTTAACAAGCCGGGGTGCCTCATGACAAACTAGATTAAATTATCCTCATAACAGTCTCATTACTGAAAAAAAAAAGGGGGAGTTTTAAACTTAATAAAAATTATCCTCAATAATGTTAAAGCTTTTGCACTGCACCCTTAAAAAGATAGAAATAGGTTTCTTGTTTGATTTATAATATGTGGAGTAGGGTAAAGCATTCATTAATAAAATTTATAAGTTCATTTAAGCTTGCACATTACAGTAGTGCTGTAGCCTTGGGTGCTTATTATTTAACTTTTTGCTGTAGTTATGAAGATAATTAATGTCCTGACCAGACAGGGACTAAAATACCCACTAGAATGAGATAATTAGAGACATAAATAATGTTTAGGTTCTCGTGTGCTGCTTTTTAAATTAATTGTTCTGTTTTCCACCCAAACTTGATAAAGAAGAAAATAAGAGTTTACTAGGGAACTGTCCGATGACAGGTGAGATGTGTGTTTCTGAGGATGGGCAAATGTTATGAAGCCTCCTGGGCTGGAGGAGGTAGTGGGTGTGCCAGGGCTTTCAATGCTTCCAAGGAAAAGTTGGGCCCTCGTTGCTCTCTGGCTCCCTCTAGTGCTAGGTCCTGGAGGCAAGCACACCTTGCAGCAAGGCCTGCTCAATAGCTCACACAGAAAGCAGAAGGGGGCGAGTCAGAAAGGAGACCTGGAGGAAGTCTCTTCTTAAGTGCTGGGGTAAGTTTCTGGTCTTAGTCAGACTCCGAGGAGAAGGAGAGCCCCAGAGGAAGCCGGGTGAGCCTATGGAAGCAAATCTTGCACACCCATGAGGCAGAACACAGGAATATATATATAAATAAAAACGTGTGTAGAGTGCAGACCCTCTGTGGGGCTGTGTGCTACAATAGGTATCCAGCATGTTCTTAGTAGGCGTATTCTCTTCTCGTTTTTTTTTTTTCTTTTTTTTTTCTCCCAGTTTCTTGCTAAAATAGCACCCTCATTAAAGTCCCTAGGCACTCTGGCAAGAGGACAGAGGAAATGCAGCTACTGATGGAAACGTGTTTGCTGGCTAAGCTTCCTTCTGGTCGGTGGTGTCCTGAGTCTTTCGGTAGGGCTGCTAGAAGGAGCAGTTGCTCCTTAGTCACAAATAGGGTAGGAGCTGACACCCTGTATGGGCAACACTTGACCACTAACCAAGCTTTTTGACACACAGCACCCCCAGTCCCTCCAGAACCCAAATGAGCCCAGAGGGGCGATTGTCACTATGGTTTCTAGGAGTCACCTGATGCTGTGGGTTCACAAAACGTCTAGTTGGGTACTTTGCTCCTGGGAAGGGCACCTGGCTCTTTTTCTTTCTGTTTCCAATGTCTTTCTGCATCTCACCTCCATTTCTTATCTCTCATGCCCTCTTTCCCTTTTCTCACCTTTCCCTTTTATCCTTGATTCACAGTAGAGATAGCAACAACTTGACTCATTCACTTACAAAAATAGCTCAGCTGTCAGAGCTGCAGGGGACTGGTGCCACCGAGATCTGTGAGGAGAGGAATGGCTCAGAGAATTTTCTCTAGGTTCAGAGTGCTTCATGGTCATAGTCATCTCCTACTCATTCCCCATCCCCGGGAGTGAAGTAGGTGGCAAACATGTCTACTTTTTATAACCCTGGTTTGGCACTGATTAAGATTTCCATCTTTGCAAGTCTATTAGTGGAAACGCATGGGTAGATGATGGCTTTGGCCAAAACCAGATCAACCTTAGGTCTCTGGAACTTTGATTTCAGCTTATTAAGTCCCCGTTTGCCAGGTATTCTTTTTGGGCAAGTAGGCCACATTAAAGTAAGTGGGGCCTCTAGGAACCCTGTGAGGAGACATCATAGATGAAGGCACAATAGGTTGCAAGGAGGGGGAGGTCAGCACAGGGAGTTAGAAGCCCAGTAGGCCTTACTCTTGCTCTTGTCCCTCCACATGGGTCCCTGCTGGCTTCACTGTGATGCTGAGGAGTGGAGGGGCAGAGGGAGAGGGAGAGGGGGCGGAGGACTAAGGATACATGGAAGAGCAGAAAAGAAGTAACTGGTTTTCAGTGGTTCTCAGATTCTAACAGAGAAAACAATGTTTAAGTGCAGATCCTGGCTCTAGTTCCAGAATTTCTTATTTAATATGCCCGTGGCCCATGAATTTGCATTTTTAAGAAACCTGGGAGGAGTCTGATGTTGGGGGTTAGCCAGGGAGCGCTGGTTATGAAATACTTTACCAGGAAAGAGAGAAAGAGAAGATGAAAGAACTGATAGGAGGCAAGGGAATTGTGCCCAAATCATCTTTTTCCCTGAGAAAGTGCTGTAGCTGCCATGTGTCCTATAGACTCTGCTTACCGTGGGATGCATCTCCAGGTGGTGAGCAGGGGGCAAGGCAGGTGCAGAGCACAAAATATTCCTTCAGCTGTCAAAATATTCCTTCCTGGCCTGAGAAAAAAATTGGGCCATCCTCCTACGTGCTTACCCAGGCAACAGTGCCTAACCCCAGGCTGCTCACTCTCCTGCTTGTCTCTTCCCTCTGGTCACTAAGGATGAAGGCATCTGTGAGGGGTTTTGGAGGTGCCCTGACCTAGGGCTGCTTCCAGTAGTTGGGTAAAGAGTAGATTGTCTGGAGTGGCCCTGTTTCTTGACTCCATAGCAACCCCCTAGAACAGTCAAGGTAGAGAAATGGGAAGAATGGGGGATGAAAAGACTCAGGGTGATTACAAGTCGGGTTTAGTGTATTTATGAGAACAAGGTCTTAGGAGAGGAGGTAGTAGTCAGAGAGAAGGGCGAATATTTCAGGTGAGACAATGCTAGGTGATTCCAAAGTCAAACTTGTGACCGGAGACTGGAGGGGATGGAGGAGAGTGAAGGCCAGTGCACTGGATGTATTGTCCACATGGATATGAAAGTGTGTGAGTTGATGACAAGATCTAGGATAGAAAAGATGGTAAGATACCAAGATGTCAGTGGGAAGTCCTTGGGTGGTGGTGGTAACCAGGTGGCATAGGAAGAGAAAGAGGCACTTACATGAAAGTAGAAGAGTATGGTATCTTTGAAAGGTAAGGAGGACACAGATCTTCTCTCTTCAGACCCTGGGGGTGTGCAGTGAATGGGAAGAATGGGCATTGCCTGGATGAGGCTGCAGAGAGGCTCCAAAGGAAACAGGGAGAGAAGGGACCCCTCCCCACCCCCAGGCTAATGTTGAGGTGAGATTACTCGGTGTTGAACAGAGGCTCCAGAGGGCACCTAAATGGCTCTGGAATGAAAATACAGTGAGAGTGAGCTTCAGAGGAGAAGATGAGAGCAGGCTGCAGGCGGGCATTTGGGAGGAGAGGAAATACGTACAGCCTGTGCTCAAGACTTGCTCTTTTGCACTTGGGCTGTTATCCAACTTGGTATTTGCTGGGTAGTGGAATAAACTTTGTAAGCATAGCTGGAAATCTTTTAAAGGAACATACAGATATTTTTACTCAAAAACACAAAACATGTTATCTGTGGGCCTATGCAGTGACAGCCATAAACCATTGTGCATCTTGTCACTTAACCTTTTCTTTAGTCTTTTTTTCCAAGTGCTTTCTAAGGTTATTGGTGAGAAACACAGCGTTGAGCTTCCTGTAATATAGTTCATTAACAGTGATACTGCACTATTTTAGGAGTTAAAAATGCCACCTCCGCCCTCTTTGCCAGCATCCTCCTCCTCTTCAGGATCTTTGTGACAACTTCTGCCCCGTTTCACCCGGTGGCAGCAGCAATGAAGTAGCCTCCTTTTCTCATTCCTGGTGCCAGTGAGGCCCTTTCCACTCTCACCACAAACCTCAACCAACTTCTGAATGGCTTTGCCTGATATTCTCTGCGGTCAAGGATCCTTCTCACTGTCATTCTTGGCAAGGTCATTGCAGACATTTTGAGTATGTTCAAAAATAATTTCTGTGTCATTTATTTTCACTTTTATTAGTTGAATTTTGTGAGTTCAAAGCTAGAACACACTGAACCCAATCCCAACACTAGAAAGATGCCTTCTTCAAAAGAAATTGGAGCACTGTTGAGTGTATCTTGGACTCCTTTTCATTCTCTCTGCATCAGTTGTCCCACCAGCCTTCTCATGGCTCTTGCAGGTTGTAGAGGGCCAAATGGGAAGACACCTGGACATTCTTTAAATTGTTGTTGACTGGGCCCAGAATATTGACAGAATCATTTCAGTTGCACTCCCGTCCTGGGAAGGCGGAGATGTTCTTAGTTCCTGGCTTGTGTTTGACCAGGAGGAAGGAGTGGGTGGAACCTGGGTTCTCCCAGGCTCCTTTTTTTCCTGTGAAACCCCTTGTTGGATTGGAGTATAAATAGATGTGCTGCGTGGCTCAGGAGGTCGTCAGTCTGTCTCGCCAGCAGAGGAGGTCAGCGGCCCTCCCAGCTCCCAGCTTGACATCTATTTCTATGTCTTCTCTCTTTATTTCTAATATTTCTCAATCCCTGGGCACCTCCACTTAGAACCGGTTCGTTCATCTCTCTTTCTGAGCGGTACACGGAAAAGGGAGATCCCTGCAGCTTCAGGCCCCCGCACAGGTGAATGATTAACCATGTTCATTCAATTCTTCCTCCTCATCCTCACTAATAGCAGCCTTTTCTTAAATAGGTTTGTTCAATTTGTCACTCATAACCTTTTTCTTTCAAGAGCACAGAGTCATCTTTGGTCTCAAGGACTTCTACTTTTGAGGCTAAACATCTTCAAGATTTAGGGTCAGCCCCTCCTCTGCAAACACCTGCAAAAACAGTTAAAAATGAGTCAGTTCCAGGATAGTTTTCCTTTATTATACCAAATTTATTCATAATACATTATGCAGGTGTTTTGATGAGAATCCAGAAACATCTTGAGACACCATATTTCTCTGAAATGTGAGAATTTAAGACCATTGCTGTTCTAGGACAAGTCTTGTGTATAGAGCTTTTTATTGCATTCATTTGCATCATTTCGTTCAATTCTCAGAACTCTGTCAATTAGCCACAGCTTGATCTTGCACATGATATAACAGAATCCAGAGAAAACTCACCCAAAGCTACACTCTTCGAAGATTGCAGAGCCAGAGTTAGACCCAGTATTCTCTCTATCAAGTCATTCTGCATTTCAGAATTAAAGACATATCAGACATTAAGATCATTCCTGATTAGGCACATGGCAGGTTAGAGCTGGAAGGGACTCTCCCCATCCCCTTATCTAATTCAACTCCTACATTCATAGACATTCAGTTGATGTATCTAATTAGAAAAAATGCAAATTATTTGACTGCATACCTATAAATATTTTCCCTGGAAAGAAAAGGAACATTTGGTAAATATACAAAAAAAAAAAAAAATATGGGGAAAATGTGCATGTTATCCCTGTGTAGATGCCATGTTAATTTTCACTGTATTGTTCCAATTTTAGTGCACATGCTGGCAAGAAATCTCAAGAATATTTTTAAATGAATATACTGCAATATAAAATATCAGAGGGTATATCACATACTGTAAAGACAAGTATTGTATTGTGAGACTTTCATGCTAGTTGCATATATGTGTAGACATTGTGGGTCAAGGTATAACATTTCTTTCATGCTATGGATTGTGCTAACAAATGTTGAAAAACCACTGATATAGAGGAAAGAGCATTGGAAAGTGGGCTTAATTACTTGATTCCAGTCATTGCTCTCTCAGCAGCCACTTGGTGAGCTTGGCCAAAAAGCTTACCCCCCTCAGGGCTTTCATTTCCTCATCTTTCAAAGGAGCTAGGTGTTTTGAGATCTCTTCTTTTAAGATTGAATTAATCTGGGGATTCTTTTTGTGGCATCAATGAAACACAAAAGCCTTTCAAGGGAGGAAAATGGGTGGAGAGAGGGAGTAGGAGCAGAAAGACAAACTCGAGGCAGGTGCAGTCACCTGACTTTACCTCACAGCAGCTGCTGCCCTGGTGCTCATCCTTACCTTGTTGCTTCTCATCATGCTGGTAGCCCCTCAAGATGCCGCTACCATGAGGGCATGAATGATGACCATGGTTAAATCCAAGTTGGAGCCTGCGGACAGCAGTGGAGGTGATGTCTGCCAACACACACACACACACACCTGGTACCATACTTGGCACTGCCAGGTGCTTAGAGGCAGTTCTTGATGAAAGCACTATAAGTAGTCCAAGAAAAGGCAATCTAAATAGAACAAGTTGAAATTTAGGAACCATATTCCCTCTACAATCTAAGTGGCCCTGAGGTAATAAAGACCTTCCTTAGGAAAAAAATAAAGGAAGGGGAGCAATTTTAGGAAATATATAATGTGAAATGCTTAATATGACTCCTTTTCTGGTGTAGACTAGTGCTTCATTTTCTGTAAAGAACAGGTACCTTTCCTCTCATTTGACGGATAAGATGCAAAGTTAATTTCATGGTGGAGAATCATCCAAGAGGTTGCTTGCTTTCCATTAATATAGAAGGCATCTTTGACTTGGGGTGGTGAACACAATACAATATAAGATGATGTATTACGGAATTGTACACCTAAAACTTCTACTAGTATAATGTTATTCACCAGTCACTCCAATAAATTCAATAAAAAGGAAAGAAAGACATTTTGACACTAGCACATACGATGTGTAGATGTACATAAACACAAACACAAGAGCTGACAAAGGCTTTAAGTGCATAAATTATTTATTGGTCCTGGGACAGCATACAATATGACAAGAAACGAGATGTGTCTGTGTGATAGGCATGTACATGTAGAAATTGAGAGAGTATTTTTTTTTCTCTAGATACATAATGCCAGAAAACATTCTGCCTTGGAAGAACAAAGGTACAAAGGTGTTCCAACAATTGAAGGTTATAGTTTTGCACTATTGCTTATTATTCATTGCATTTGAAAATAGGGCATGGAGAAGACAATCACCTCTCCCAGTCTGGATCTCTTTAGCATGCTTCAGTTTAACATCACATGCTAGTTAAGATTTAACAAGATGTGTCTATTGGCCAGCAGAAAAACCTGGTTGACATGAGCCTTGTGTGTCAGGAAGTAGATAAAAAAAATGGGCTTGGTTGTTATTGAACACTGTACTTAAAAAAAAAGAAAATGAATAATTTAAGTCATTTTAGTACTTGTGGAGGGCTCTGAACTGACAGCTCTGTGTCCCAGGGTCTGTCTGCTGCCCAGATGCATCATGGGTATAAACATGGAAGCGATCCCACCCATCCGCACAGATGAGCTTCTAGTTACTCCATCCACTGCAGCCGGCCTGAGGAGAAAATGCAGCCCGGTGTGGGCCTCAGTGTGACCATGGCTGTGCACGAGGCATTGCTGGAGAGAGTGGGGATGAGACACACTTGCTAGACTCCCCCTTTGTGTAGGAGACTAGAGAGAATTAAGAGATGAATACTTTTCTAGTCATGATCCCCAAGCTGGAGCTAAATCCATGAGCTTGATGTGGAATGTTGATATAGCGACTTCTTCAGTTACTGTTTACTTCCAAATGACAAAACCAAAACAAAAATAACTCCAAACAAAGTCCCAACAAAGAAAAAAAACAAAACAAAAACAAACCTCTCCAGCCTATACTAACCCAGTTATTTTTGGCTTTGGGTTGGGCTGGGCTGGTGAGATGCTCTTTGGCCAACTATCACTGCGCACAGCGTCTGTCTGGAATTTTTGTGAGTTGGGAAAGGGACGGTTATATTTGGACTCTGGAAGGGAAGTTGCTGAGGTAGAGTGGCAGCTTTAGGTCATAGGGTTTGAGCCCATGCCAGCAGGAGGGGAAGCAACTCACCCATTGTCAGCGAGGAAGCGGGTGGGACGACCCAGCTAAACCCTTTGGCCGGGTCATAGGGGAGGTCTGCAGGGGCACCTGCCACACCACTGCCAAGGCCAGTGAGGCTCACTGCCTCTGGCTGAGCCAGCCAGGAGGACCGGTGTGGGCTCAGCGACATTGCCTGCTTTCCTTCATCTAGCCCACTGCACTCAGTCTGGGCTACCAGGTATTGCATTCCTGAAAGTTTCTAAACGTTGTTTACAGTTATTATTCACATGCCCTGGGTTCACTACTAGATCTTGAGGGCTGCATTTTACCTTTACGATCTACATAGCTTCCACACACCAAGACCTTTTATAAATCAAACACTAGCTTGCCCACCCCCTTTAAGCTCTGGGTGATGTATATATAAAATAAACTATTAAATCTTCAGTTGTGTTATAAAAAGAATGACACTCGAGTCATGATAGAAAAAACCCCCCACAAGATTATTGTTTATGAATGTACCGCTAAAATATGCATTTTGTAAGGCTCATTGATTTATTTCCAATTCGAGGGACCATATAGACATACAAAATGGTTCATTAGATATTCATTATACCTCCTTAGCTGTTTTTATTAGACGTGCCCATGGTGCCAATGGCAAGGTTGATGTTTTCAGGGGTTGAGTCAATGCTTGAATCTCATCAATTTCTTATAGGCAGTTTTGGTTTAAGGTATTTTGATGATTTTATAGAAATGTTTTACACCATTAAAAAGCTATAACTTAAACTGTGGAGCAGGGCAGGCACACATTAGATGATAAATGGCTTTGTGTAAGAGATTTCGAATTTGTCAAATCTGCATTAAAGAACTATATTTGAAATTGGTTAGAAGGTTGGGTGAATTCTCCAGGTGAAAATGACATTTGTTTTATGGATCCCTCTGAAACAATTCCCCCAGAGTTTTCATTTCAATAAATCACATCCAAGTTCAGCACTCCAAAAGCAGCCGTGAAGCAAGCATGGTAGAGTTGCAGTAACTGCTTTTCTGTTTCCTCTTTTTTAGGGAAAAGGGCCCCATTTCATCATCTGTAAAGGAAGTGAGACTAGATGACCTGGAGGTGTGAATCTTTATACCCTCTCATTCATTCGTTCATTCATTCATTCATTTCACACTTAGGTATTGAGTAGGTGTGGGCATGTTCTGGCACTAAAGGAACAGCAATATATAAAACCTAGACCTGGTTCTCATGGCGGTGACACCTTAGAAGGAGATAGATAATTTCATGAACTGATAAGCACCCTAAAGTCAGTAGAGGAAAGTATTGTGACGGTAAGCTATTGGGCAGGTGGCCTCAAGCTTCTTTAAGAAAGGGTCATTTCAGCCTAGGAAAGGCCATTGAGCAAACATCTGGAAGAGGGGCATTCCAGGAAGAGACCAGCCAAGGTCGTGGAGGGCAATGCAATAGTGTGGATGAGGCCGAAGTGTCTTCTTTGTGGGTCTTTTCCCGCCTTTAGAGCTGTAATACTCTGCTGCA